TAACTATAAACCTGAGCGAGCCCTAACTATAAACCTGAGCCAGCCCTCACTATAAACCTGATCCAGCCCTAACTATCAACCTGAGCCAGCTCTCACTATAAACCTGATCCAGCCCTAACTATAAACCTGAGCCAGCTCTAACTATAAACTTGAGCCAGCTCTAACTATAAACCTGAACAAGTCCTAACTATAAACCTGAACCAGTCCTAACTATAAACCTGAACCAGCCCTAACTATAAACCTGAGCCATCCTTACATATAAACCTGAACCAGCCCTAAATCTAAACCTGAGCTAGCCCTACTTGACTAACTTGGGTGTTTGTGGAAGATTCATAGTTTACATACACAAACTGGGACTGATCTGATAAACAGGACTTAAACCAGTACATTGTTGTATTGGTTCTGGGTACTTCTTTGACTACTACTGCTGCTGGCTTGTCCTGTTAACAGGAAGATGTCTCTTTGTGTCTCTGTGGTTCAGGACGGAGAGAATCTGGATCACTATCAGATGGACTGTCAGTCTGATGGATTGTGGAGTAGCAGTCCTCACTGTCAGAGTAAGAAATCATTCTGCAACATGTAAAACTTTAAGGGAAACATCTGTGTGATCAGATTCATTATTAAATCATTACTAACACTAACATGTTCTTTCACTCAGTGCTGAAGTCCTCTGACTTCTTTTATTTTAACAAGCTAAATTCTCTTTTTCAAACAACAAGAAGGCAGCATTAACACATATTCTATCACCGATACATTTCCTATATATTAGATCACCTATATATGGATATCAGCTTCACACATGTAGCTGGATTCTGCACTGAATGTGATCAACTAACTAAAGCATCAGTAGTTATCAGTGAAATATAGTGGTGGATCCCAAAGAGCTGACACGAGTCAACCAGTAACCAGTAACTGTACATGGTAACTGTATATAGTAACTGTATACAGTTACTGGATATATAGTTACTTTATATATAGTAACTGTAGCTGATATAGTTGCTGTATAGTTTCTGTATTTAATTACTGTACAGTTAATACAGTAACTGTATAGTAACTTTATAACTATATGTAGTAACTGTACATAGGAACGGTATAACTGTTTATATAGTAACGGTACATAGTAAATTAATATATAATAAATGTTTAGTAACTATATATTTGAACTGTACATAGTAACTGTATAGTAATAGTATAAATAGTAACTGTACATAAAAACTGTAAATAGTAACAGTATAGTTATTGGATATATAGTAACTGTATATATATATAGTAACTGTACAGAGTACCTGTATAGTTATTATATATATAGTAACTGTAGCACCAGACCTCAGATTAGGTTGAACTTAATGGTTTCCGTTTCTTTCTCTCTAGAAACACACTCTAGGAGGAGGTCTTTGTCCATCATCTTAACCAATCACAGTCGAGATTAGTCAGAAAGTGATTCTTATTGGCTGATAGCAAAACTGTAGGAACAGTTTATATGTTTGTCAGTAGTTTTAGATTATTTTCTAATAAAACAAATTTTAAAAAAGAATCTCCAGTCGTGTGTTTTTGTCAAACAATCTGTCGATCATAATAAAAATAATGATCACAACAATAATCTGATTTTAATACTGCCATGTTATCAGTGACATCACAGCAACACTCAGTCTTCTGATGATAGACTCTCAAGTTTGGATCAATGACATTTAGAGTTTGTGTTTCTACTTCTGTATGAACTCTGACAGGAAGTAGTCGTACCAGCAGAGCAGCTTTAAAACAGATCAACACGAAAGAGTCCTGTGATTTTAATATTATAGTTCATACCACATTAGCAATCATCTGCATAATGTATTAACATATGTAATGCTAAAATGAGAAATACTGTAAAAAAGGAGCAGAAAGGACTTCTAAAATATATAAATGTGAGATTCATATTGAAAAGAACTGTCTGAATTTGGATACATTATATTCAAAATATAGATATCATGTACATATAATATATGTGTCACCATGTTTCAGTTATTAAGGACAATAGTTCAAGTCTGCTCATTCTACCATCTAAGAGCTGCTGGGTCTTGTTCATTTGGTATTCATCACGGTTCCTCTCTTTCACAGCGGTGGATTGTGGGAGTCCGAAGTTGGTCGCGATGGCCAACTTGGTGTTTGGAAGTAAAGACAACAGCACACAGTTTGGATCGAGTGTTCAGTACGTCTGCAGGGAGGACAGCTTCCAGCTCAACAACAGTAACAGTAAGAGTATTATGACTGTATTACTCAAAGTACTGAGTATAACAGAAATGTCATATAGTATGTCATAAAAAGTAATATTATAGTATGTCACAAAAAGTCATAGTACAATATGTCATAAAAAGTCAGAGTGTTGTACTGTATGTCCAAACACGATATCTGTGTGTGTGTGCGGTAGGTCTCTACATCTGTGGGCCGAGTGGAGAATGGGTCAACTCGGAATCAGGAACAAGACTGCCGAGCTGTTTACCAGGTAACCTTCAATCTACCACATGACGTCATCTTCCTCATTGAAAGAGTGAATACATTAGTTCATGATCGCTACTGAATATACATAGATATATAATATAAACATCGAACAGAAAGTTCGGAAATTAGTGTTTGGTAGATTATTTCTCTGTTGTAACAATGCTTCTTGGCAATAAATGTTATACCGTTGGAAAGCCTGTTTAGGTACCTTTCAAACGATGCCCCATTTGTAAGGAACATGCATTTGTGGGATGAGCAACAGAGCTGAGTATGTGGGTTGCGCCCATGAAAAATTTGCCAAATCTTCTCTGCCAAACAGCTTATTCTGCTGTTGCTATTGACCGTCAGGCCCGTTTGCACTGGTGTCGGCAACACCTGCACTGGAACCTGAACATGTGGTGGAACGTTATGTTCAGCGATGAGTCCAGATTCTGCCTGAGGAAGTTGGATCGTAGGGTCAAAGTATGGAGAAGACGGGGAGAACGCTATGCTGATTGCTGCACCGATAGAGTAACACCTTTTGGTGGAGGCAGTGTGATGGTGTGGGGCGGCATCTCCATCACTGGAAAAATTAGGCTTGTCTTCACTGGAGGCAATCTCAATGCAGAGAGATATCGAGATGAGATTCTGCAACCAGTGGCAATCCCATTTCTCCACAGTCTGAGACCAAACTCCATCCTCTAAGATGAAGACGCTCGCCCCCACAGAGCGCTTTATCAGAGACTACCTCCAGAATGTGGGAGTAGAGAGGATGGAATGGCCTGCCAGCAGTCCTGACCTCAACCCAAGTGAACACTTGTGGGACCAGCTGTTCGTGCCAGAGTGACCAACAGAACCACGTTGGCTGACTTGCGACAAATCCTGCTTGAGGAGTGGAATGCCATCCCACAGCAGTGTGTGAGCAGGCTGGTGAGCAGCATGAGGAGGAGGAGCCAGGCTGTTGTGGCTGTGTATGGTTCTTCCACACGCTACCGAGGCTCCTGTTTAAATGAATAAATTGTAAAATTGCCAATATGTCTTGTTTCTTCCTTGTAACTGATAGCCTTCAATCATCCAATCCACCAAACAAGAGTCAATAGCAACAGCAGAATAAGCTGTTTGGCAGAGAAGATTTGGCAAATTTTTCATGGGCGCAACCCACATACTCAACTGTGCTGCTCATCCTACAAATGCATGTTCCTTACAAATGGGGCACCGTTTGAAAGGTAAATAAACAGGCTTTCCAACGGTATAACATTTATTGCCAAGAAGCATTGCTACAACAGAGAAATAATCTACCAAACACTAATTTCCGAACTTTTTGTTTGATGTTTATCTATTGTAATGTCATGAGAAGTTTCTAGGGCAAGGTACTTAACAAAAACAGGCAAAAATCAAAGGTTCCCAGAAAAAGGTCACATTTTATTCTTCCGTTTCTGGCAACTCAAGTAATTCTCGTTATCAAACTCAAGTCCAAAACAAAAAAAAGCGTCCAAGAGGAGGTAATGGTTCGTTCAACTGAACAGTATTAAAAAAACTCAACTTAGTGTGTCCTCGGTTTCACCGGCCACCGGGTCGTCTTCCTTTCAATCCTCCTCAGTCTGGCTCGGTACTTTTCTTTACGCCGTTCTCCAGTCCAGGTTAGTTCTTGGCTCTCCTTCCAGCCATGTGCTCTCCCTCCTCCTCTCCTCCTGCAGCTCTTAAGTCCTGCCTCAATCAGGTGGCTTCAACACCCACACCTTGGTGAGTGGTGAGGCCTTCTGGGAGCTGTAGTTTGTGCTTGGGCAGCCATTTTGTGATGTGGCTGTTGATCATTAAAGGGAATATAGCACCCATCTAGCACCTGGCCCCTTCCCTTGTGATGCCACAATATATACATCTACTGAATACAGCTGACTGTTATTTTGATCCGTACTCACACTCTCACCTCATTACTCACGGCTGCTGCTAGATTTAGTCTTGACTCGCTCATAGTGTCACACTAACTGCAGCAACATCTGCACATATTATTCCAAGTAGGTTTACTAAGTCCAAAACTACCTGTTTAGGTTTACTAGGTCCAAAACTATCTGTTTAGGTTTACCAAGTCCAAAACTACCTGTTTAGGTTTACCAGGTCCAAAACTACCTGTTTAGGTTCAGAAAAACATCATTGGTTGGGTTCAAAGAAGAATGTTAATCCTGGAAGTTATCTCAGGGGTTATCAAGCAGTTTGTGTCTGTCCAGCAGTACATTAAACAGTACATTAAACTACATTAAACAGTACACTAAACAGTAAATTAAACAGTACATTAAACAGTACATTAAACTACACTAAACAGTACATTAAACAGTACATTAATCTACACTAAACAGTACACTAAACAGTACATTAAACAGTCTGTGTCTCCATGTGTCTTCCAGCCTGTGGCCAGCCGTCCCGGTCCTTCCCCCCTCAGGTGAAGCGGATCGTGGGAGGTCTCCGGTCCGAGCCCGGCCTGTTCCCGTGGCAGGTTCTGCTTAGTGTGGAGGATCTGTCCCGTGTCCCTGAGGACCGCTGGTTCGGTTCTGGGGCCCTGCTGTCCCAGTCCTGGGTCCTTACAGCGGCCCACGTCCTGAGGTCTCAGAGGAGGGACACCAGCGTCGTCCCCGTGGCCCCGGAACACGTCAAGGTCTTAACTTCTATATTTTAATTTAATATTAATTTTACATTTCCACTAATATTTTGATTACTTTTAATATTATTTAATATTGGAGGTTGGGATATTTACAACAACCTGGTCATTAAAGTTTGATATGATGTGTAAACATAAATATTAATGCTTCTTTCCAATTGGCTGGCTTTCCTACATAAGCCCGCCTTCTGTGACCATCTGACCAATCTGTATGCTGATTACATTATGTGGTCATGTGACCCAGTTTAACTATTGTAACCAGTTTAAATAGTAAAACCAGTATAACCAGTCCATGTGATTCAGGTGTTTCTGGGTCTCCATGACGCTGCAGACAAACGTCTGGCCACCAACCGTTCGGTGGAAAGAATCTTCCTCCACCCGAACTTCCAACCGGACAACTACAACAACGACATCGCTCTGCTGAGGCTGGAGGAGCAGGTGGAGTTCACTGAGTTCATCCGGCCTCTGTGTCTGCCTCCACCTAGAAACCAGGTACAAGTGCTACTAGTACTACTACTACTGTATGATACCACGTCTGTGTGCCTCCACCTAGAAACCAGGTACAACTACTACTAGTACTACTAGTACTACTAGGGTAAGACTCTCCCCCTTCACCTCTCCCTCTCTCTCTGTTTCAGGACGACCCCCCCTCACCTCTCCCTAATTCTTTGGGTGTAGTTGCTGGGTGGGGGATCTCCAATCTCAACACCTCCTCCTCCAGTGACCCTGAGATGACGTCTGACCTCTTGCAGTACGTAAAGCTGCCGGTGGTCTCTCAGGACGAGTGTGAGGGGAGCTACGCCTCACGCTCCGTCAGCTACAACATCACCCACAACATGTTCTGTGCCGGTTTCTTGGAGGGCGGGAGGGACACCTGTCTGGGGGACAGCGGGGGGGCGTTTGTGATGGAGGACGGGGTCAGCAGGAGGTGGGTGGTGTTTGGGTTGGTGTCCTGGGGGGGGCCGGAGGACTGTGGGAGTCAGAGGGTCTACGGAGTCTACACCAGAGTGGCTAATTATGTGGAGTGGATCCAGAAGCACCTTCAGACTGCCCCCTGGTGGTGAGACAGGTGGTGAGATGGGTGGAGAGACGAGTGGAGAGACGAGTGGTGAGACGGCTGGTGAAACGGGTGGAGAAGGGTGGTAACTAACGTTAGTTTGTTACTGGTTTGTTATGGTTAGTTACTGGTTTATTATTGTTAGTTACTGGTTTATTATTGTTAGTTACTGGTTAGTTACTGGTTTGTTATTGTTTGTTACTGCTTAGCCACTGGTTTGTTATTAGTTCCATATCGTTTGTTATTAGTTTGTTATTGTTTGTTATTGGTTTGGTTTGTTATTGTTTCTTACCGGTTTGTTATTGTTTGTTATTGGTTTGGTTTGTTATCATTTCTTACTGGTTTGTTATTGTTTGTAATTAGTTTGTTATTGGTTTGGTTTGTTATTGCTTGTTACTGGTTTGTTTGTTTGCTCATACATTGTACTTCCTCACTACTGTGTTGTATATTTGTACACTCTTTTGTATGAATCATATTAAAGCTGCACCATATTGGAAAAAAACTGACATTGCAATATTTTCTTTTCAGCTATTTGAAAAATACAGTGAGTCACTTTTGTGCTCTAATAAACATTTTAATCATAAAGATAGTGTTTGTATTGATATGAATGAATGTATTGATATGAATGCTCACTCACAGAGTATTAATAATAAACTCTTATAAACACAGTTTTCTTTTGCAAAGAACATCTCCGAGTTGTTTCGTCACAAGTTTGTGTATTTGACATCATTTTACAGAAGATATTCAGAAAATAGAAAACAAACGATTAATTATCATTTCAATATACTTTGACTTGGTTCTGCTATTATGTGTTAAATATCAAACAAGGATAAAACATAAACAAACGTTTATGCTCAAATGAAAAAGAACCAATGAGAAGCAGAGAGGAACCAGCTGATAGATGTAGAACCTGATGTTTCATGTTCAACTATTAAAGTCTTCGTTTGGCTCCCTTTGCTTTCAATTTGAAAAATGAAAAAGAAAAAAGATAATTTCAGTCTGTTTGTCTCAACTCTCGGTACCGTTCAGGTCCAGTCTCTCCATGGTGTCTCTGATCCAGTTCAGAAAGTTCCCCAGTCGGGTATAAACTCCGTACTTCCCCTTTGCAGCACATTTCTCTCCCCAGCTCACCACTCCGGTCAGAAACCAGGTCCCTCTGTAGTTCACCACGAACGGTCCTCCACTGTCTCCGCTGCAGGCGTCCATCCCGACATCATGGTAACCGGCACAGAACATGTTGTCTGTGACAACCTGGGGGAAGGACGGAGACAGTGACATCATCTACACATGACATCATCATCTACATACATGACATCATTAAAGGCTTCACAAAATATCTATTTAGTACTACAATGTGTACAGTGTGTACAGTACAGGGTAAAGTGTGTACCCTCTGATCACCTGTTCAGTGGAGGCGGTACAGTCTCTGTAGCTGACCACTGGGAGCGTGACCTTCCTGAGGAAGCGAGAGGAGGACCTTCCCCGGTAGTGAGTGAGTCCCCAGCCCGTCACCACGCCCCGGTTCTCCTCCTAAACATACAAACACAGACTGTCCCTCTCCATGCAGACTGGAAACCATCAGTGTTTTAAATTGAGTTACCTGCAGCAGGTATCTGGACAGGTGGGGGTCGGGGAGGCAGGCGGGGATGGCGGTGGGGCTCCTGACGACGGGCTTGTCGAGGTACAGCAGAGCGATGTCGCTGTCGAAGGTGAAGGAGTGGAAGTGAGGATGGACGAAGACCTTCTGAACCTTGATCACCTGCTCCCCTGGATCAGGACGTCGTTTATCATAATCACCTGAACACAAAGACGTTATTCATCGTTCAGAGGAAGTCGCACAAACCAGGAACACTAACACACATGTGGTCACCTATGGTAACGTGGTCCGCAGTCTCCTCCAGGCAGTGAGCAGCAGAGACCACCCAACGGTCAGAGACCAGAGTCCCTCCACAGAAACCATACCCATCAGACCTGCAGACCAGAACCTAACCACACACAAACACACACACACACACAGTACACTATGTTAAGTAAACATTAAAGCTGATTTAAATATGTGTAAAATGAATGAATGTTGATCCAGAATGTCTGATCACCTGCCAGGGACTCCCTCCTGGTCTCTCCAGGACTCCACCCACGATACGACCAGTGACCTCCTCTCCTCCTCCCTCCTCCCCCTTCAGCTGGGTCTCATTGCCCCCCCTTTGTCCAGACGTTGAGTTCACCATCACCAGCTCCTCCTCCGTCTCAGTAACATTCAGTTCAACCAGCCAGCTGTCGGTGACGTTGTCGTTCATCATTGTGACATTGAGCAGAGAACGACTTCGGTATGAAGAAGACCAGACTCTGTGCTGACCACAAGGAAACGACACTGGACCAGAAAAAAAACGTGATGTTACTACACACCGTGAGGTACACTAAACACTGTGAGGTTACTACACACCGTGAGGTACGTTAAACACCGTGAGGTACACTAAACACCGTGAGGTATACTAAACACCGTGAGGTATACTAAACACCGTGAGGTACGCTACACACCGTGAGGTACACTAAACACCGTGAGGTACACTAAACACCGTGA